TTCTCTTCTGGTACTCCAGTTTCCTCCCACAGTCCAAAAACATGACTGTCAGGTTAACTGGTTTCTCTAAATTCTCCTTAGTGAGTGTGTGTGTGCATAGTCATTTGTCCTGTGTGTCTCTGTGTTGCCCTGTGATGGACTGGCGACCTGTTCAGTTGATCCCACTTCTCGCCCGTTGACAGCTGGAGATTGGCACCAGCGCCCCTGCTGTCCCTATTAGGGACAAGGGAGCAGGAAAATGGATGGACAAATTATTCCTTGGTTATTGTTGATTTTCCCAGTTAGTGTTTAAAATCTCCAGTTTATTCTCCAGCTTCTTCCTGTAGCTACTCCTCAATAACTTCCTTGTTCCATAAAGGTCTTTTTTCTTGCTTAACAATTCTTTTGGTGATCCAGGGTTTGTTAATTGGGAAGCATCTCACTGTTCTGGTGGTTCTTGTTGGGTAAAACTAATCATTGTTTTATCACTTTATTTGAGTGTTTATCTAAATGTGTTCAGTTACCTAACTGGCTCTGACCATTTATTTTTTAAGTTTATTTATTTATGATGTAATTTCCTACTCAAGGGATCCATCTGTTCTGTTATATCACCATTGTTCCACTGAAGAAGGTCATCATAATAAAACCCAATTCCCAAGCAGAGTTGAGAAGAGCTCACCAATCTTTGATTCCGAGCGGGTTAGAGATTGTGGATCTCTCTCTTTGCAAAGGAAGGTATAAAAACTGCATTGGTCTTGTGTTTGGTTCTTTACAGGTCTTGAGATAATGTTAAAACCCCCAACAGTTCTGTCCACACAGAAATTTATATAGTCAGTCACACACTCAGTCATAGCACTGATGACATCTCCGTGTGGCCGGCAGAGAGTAGCCCAATCAGCTGCTTCAAAACAAGCCTTGATAATGGGCTTATCATGGAAATTCAGTTAAATTCAGTTTATTTATGGGGTGCTAATTCATAACATTATTTAATTAATACATTATTCATTTAGAAATTAAAATGTCTTAAAAAACAAAGCTTCCCTGTTTGGTCAATGTAAGATGATTTGCAGATAAGCTGTGAAATCTTTTTGTGAAGAGGAAGATGAGAAGAAGAGAAAATCTGCTGTAATTTCCTGTGTGACTCTGGGGAGAGTAATCATGTCTTTTTTTAAGATGGCGGGACTTTACTTGTACCATTTTTAGAAACAGGAAAGAGCAATATGATGTGGCACAACAGAAAGGGATTTTTTTTTTTTTTTTACCAAATCAACTTAAATCCTAATTTAAAATAAGGAAGAAGCTATGTTTGAAAGTGAACTGAGACCACAAGATGGGCAGTTTCTGGAAAGAACACATCTCTTTCACATCCTTCCTGTGTTGCTGTCAGGTATCCCCCCTCCTACTTACATCAGTAGGAGGGGGGGGACATCACTGGAAAAATGTGTTTACTCATACTTACAGTGAGATTTGAATTCAAACAATAATGTAATACTAGTGTTTTATGGTTCATTTTGATGGACTTTCTACATATATTCTCAAAATGCTCCATCTTAGTGTAACTTTCATGGATGGATCACTGTAATATATTTTTAAAGCTTAAAATCAGTTGTGATTATGTGGACAGTGTGTGTGGTTCTAGTTTACACCATTTTAATAAAGCCATTGATGTTCTTTAAAGTTAATTAGTTTTTTTTTTCATCAATAGGAAAGAATTACTGCATTGTCTTGACATTTTAACATAATGCTGATGGTGCATCATAAGATTTTACAGTGGAACATTTATGACTGAAATCACCAAACAAAACTGAATTAGCATTCATGACAGTGAGGTACAGTGTGTATGGAAAGTATTCTGATCCCTTTAACCCTTGTGTTTACAAATGGGGTCCAACCGACCCCACACCTGTAAAACTTGTAACATTTGCCACAGTCTTCTACGTTTGCCTCAGTCCTTGCACACACAAGGGTTAAATATTTCACTCTTTCGCTCTTTGTTTCATTGCAGACATTTGTTAAAATCAAAAATGTTCATATTTTCCATGAATATAGACTCAGCATCCCATCTTGACAGAAAAAAATGAGAAATGTAGAAATTCGCAAGGATCAATTCTTTGCAAATTTGAGCAAAGGATCAGTACTGATCTTCAGTCAATACTGACCCTGATATTGAGGGTCAGTATTGAGCAGAACCACCCTTTTGAGCTTGTACAGCCATGAGTTTTCTTGGGAATGATGCAACAAGTTTTTCACACCTGGATTTGGAGATCCGCTCCAGTTCTGTCAGGTTGGATGGTGAACGTTGGTGGAGGCATTTTCAGGTCTCTCCAGAAATGTTTAATTGGATTTAGGTCAGGGATCTGGCTGGGCCAGGCAAAAATGATCACAGAGTTGTTCCAAAGCCATTCCTTTGTGGAATCATCTCAAGGAGGGTCAGAAGAAATGGGCAGCATGCAAAGCCCACCTGTTGTCTTTGTCGAGTGTCGTAAGTTGTCACAGTCAATCTAGTCAGTCGTCCACAGTAAAACTGTGAAGTCCTGTGACGGCTTCAGCTCTCTATGCAGTCGTTAGTCAGTAGATTCCAGTGTTAGTGTTGCCTTCGCTCCCTGTGCTACCTGCTCATCTGGACTGTTGAGCTGTACTCCTATCATTAAAATCTTCATCATCATCATCTTCCATCTGGGTATCTGCATTCTCTCTCACCACCACAACCTCACCAAATCATGACACTTAGATTCTCTTTTGACTTTTTAGTGTTACAGCTACTGGGTGCATATCAGAAATCTGTCCACCCTGACCAATTTCTTCCAATATGTTTCTTATGACCTTTCTGTGTATCACTGTTCCTGCTGTGAGCCCTGCATTATAAAATGACAGATGGGTTGTGCAATCATATTTGCACAACTCATTGTGCCTAAACTTTTAAGGTTGTGCAAGCAGTCATCAGCTGTTTTATTGCGGTTCTGAGTTATTTGGTAAAATTTCTGTCCTCTGATGGGGAGTTTTGCAAGGTAATTTGATTCTTGGTTTCGTTTTTCACATTAACTTATAGAAAGCTTAATAACATGGCCACCTGAATCTTTGTTGCATGTAAAATATTATTATTCCTTTAACAGCAAAGCTTTTGTAGCTTTTCATGCAACAATCACTATTTTATTGTCATGTCCACTAAGGGTAAATTGTCTAAAAAACTGACTGAAGTATGGCAGCAAGATAACAGTTCACCTTGCAGTCAGTAAGATTTGCAATCGTTCTGCAGACAGTTGTCATGGATGCATTGTGTTTTACTAAAACTATTTCCAATCTCTGTTACTTTTATCCATATATTTATTTTATTCTAACTCTGTTTTGAGAGTCATGCAGTTCCCTGTCAGTTAACAGTTTGGTATTCCACATTTTACTGAAGATGACTTTGATGTGTCGACAGGGACCTGACCCCAGAACCTATGAGTGACAACTATCTCTTCCTTAGATCTTGACATATTTATCTATATTAAGTCAAATATGGCAGGACAGAGGCAGGCCTCATGACAGATCAAACTGATCAAAGATTTTGATCAATTATAAAATTGATCAAAGTCTTGACAATTGCCAGTGATAATAAAAAGATCAGCAAAATACAAATTCTTATTCTTTATTTAAACATTTCATCTTATAATGTCTCCATAAGTGGATTTATATATTTAAAAAAACACAGACATGGGACCATAAATGCAGAAACTGATTGGTCCTATCTTCCAAAACACTCACTTCTGTGAATATGAAAGAAGATTCATACTCACCTGACTATGATAGACTCATGATGTTTTCTGTCAAATATTTAAACTCAACAGCTGACCAGACCAATGATAAGAACTAAGTTTTGCTCATAATTGAGATATCTTAGCCTGTACCCTTAAGTTAACCTTTGACTATAATTTTATTACTACATTGTTTCTTATTCTATGTTTACCTGTTACACATTACAAACAAATTGCTCAGCTCACAAAATATTTGTACTTCATGGTAAATAAAGAAAAATAATTAATCATAAAATGAAGTACAGCTTTACACTTTTGTTGAAAGTCACAGGTGGACTGATGAGCTGTTGCTTCAAATTTGATTTCCCTTTTCCTAAAGCTGCTCTGATCCCTCAGTATATTGAGGAGAAAGAATTATGATACATTTGAGAACTTTTTTGGTCAATTCTAAAAAATATTTTGATCAATAATATCAGTTATTTCGTGCCTTTTCAATGTGATGCAGATGGAATACAAACGACAACATTAAGCATGAATTAAACTTAAAGTGTTCTGTGGTCACAAGTACCTGAGACTATCTACACATCTTCATGTAACACTGACTTCACTGAGTTTCTATACAACCATTCTCAGGGTGTTTCCCCCTTTACACATGGGAAACAAGTGCTTCCTACAATTGAAAAAAGTATTTCCCAATATAGAAAGTACTTGTTTACTGTGTATGTGAAGGGGGAAACACCCTTCACACACAGACACAACTTGTATTTACAAGTTGAAATGCTGAGGTCTTTTTTCTCAATATCCGTATGATAAACAGTGGTAACTAACATGTTGCATTAACTGGAGGAGCTAATCATACCTCGGAATTAAAGGAAGGCTCTATACTAGATGAGTCACAGCCTTACATTAACGTCTGTCTATCTTAAACTTTGGGGAAGTGACATATTTCTCTTTCTGAGTAGAACATCAAAAAGACTTCACTTTTACCACTGAAACAGAATTTATGCAGACACAAAGTTTCTGTGATGTTTTTAAACACATGTTGATCAGAGTGCGTGTGTGTGCGTAAGAGAAAGAGTAAGTGTTAGATTCTGCTAATTGTGGGTGTCTATTTTGTGGTGTAAAAATGGTTACGACAGGTCTGTGCGTGTGGTTTAGGTATAACTCAGTCAGAGGTTTGTGTAGGCGTGTTCTGGTCCATATGAGCCTCCCAGGTTCTGGGTCTCTTCCTTATCAGCTCTCCACTTATTCACAAAGAGTGACATCACTGGAGTTTCCACCAAAAAAAAGCTTTTAAAAGAGCGTCTCAAAATGTCAGTTAAGAAGAAGAAGGAGTCCTCTTACCATACATTTACAGTTTGACTTGGATTGAAAGCAAGAACTTACTCAGAACAATGGAGAGTGAATTCAAGATATTACTGGATGCAGATGCGAGCACAGGGACAAATGATCGGACATCCACTAGAATCAAAACATTTCAAATGTCCAGACTTACCTTGGCCCTGATGGCTTTCACACTCTGCCTTGCTACTGGTGCTGCTGTTTTCCTCTTCTCTAATGCTCGTGTCAAGGTGAGTGCTGTCTTCAAAAAGGGTCAGAGGCCTGCAACAAATAGTTACTACATAATCTGATCCCACCAATGCTAACAGTGTCTCTTTATCTATCTTCTGACACAGAGTGCAGTATCAGACGAGGGAAGCTCTGGTGGGTAGTTCTCCTTAATTCTTTGACACATTGAACTTTTATGAAGTTGTAGTTAACTATAGCATCTATTATCTAATCTATGTTTTACAGGTAAATATTATATACCTGAACTTTTATGTATAGTTTTGTTACTTAGGGATTTGTTCCATAAAGGAATAATGTCCCAGAAAAATGCTATTTTGCATCCAGAAGAGGGTTAACATCTTTTCCTCTGATTTTACAGCTTTTCATCACGCCTTAAGGCAAATTTCAAACAGGGCAGCCATTCATCTAGAAGGTAAGAACTAGACACCTTCAGGTGAGGGGGGTGGAGGGGGCTTGATTCCCTGCCGCTTTTACCCTTGATGCCCTAAGTGCCCTTTTTGGGGTTGTTTTATTTTGTTTTATTTTTGTTTTGTTTTCAATGTATTTATTTTTTATTACATTTTTTATCTGGACAATAGTATTTAGCTAAACATAAGAATTTAGCCAACTGAATTACTCTGGCTGTCCTTGGTCTAATAATGACTGAATGGATTCTCAGTTCCTCTGTCTCCATGTCGTTATGACACCAGATCAGGATAGGGAGGGGAACTGTGTCCTCTGTCAGATTATGGGCGAGAATGTTTTTTTTCAACATACACTAGTTTGTGAATAAAAACGTAGGTCTGATGTTGAAGTTTTATTTATTTTCATAATTGTCCTCACAATAGCGGGAAAAACCCTCATCACCCCCAAACACAGAAATGGCTCAGTTGCAGAGAAAACTTCTGACTTTAATTTTAGCATTCTGCTTCAGTGCTGGACTAAATGCCCAGTTTGCTCCAGGCAGCCTGAGTCAGTCTCACCACTGGGGGTCAGAATCGGATACCCTGATATAAAGAAATGGTAATGTGGCTGTCACTGCGAATCCAACGTACCTTTTAGCTCTGTGCTTCACTAACGTTACTACCAGGCGGGTTCACAGTTTTGCTGACAGATCAGAAAAAATACACCCATAAAGCCCAGGCAACCAAAACAGTCTTTGTGGCGCTTATTACAAACTGAACAGTCAGTAAACACAAAAGCCTCATCTGATGGTTTGTCCCAGCTACTGCCTTATAAATGAAATCTCCATTTGTCCCTTGCATCCAGTAGAGAGATGCGCAACACAATGGAGCAGCTCTAGCAGGGCCGGGGTAGAATCTAATTTACTCCCCCTCCTACTAAGAACATCAGCATCACTAACAGTGTTTGTTTGAAAATAGATTTAGGGAAGTCAGTGAGACTGGGAACAGGTTAATTGGCCAGCTTAATATCAATCACTGATTTCTGATTATTATTTACTGTGATGTATTTGTGAATAAACTGAGCTCAAACACAAAGATTAAAGATAGCATCAGATTGTAGCCGTGGTAACACATCAAAACCTTGTTGAAAGACAAAATCCTCCAGGACAGTCAGCAGCAGAAACAGCAACATTAAACCTATCAGGGAAAATTTGCTTTGATTGTCCCCACATGACAATGACATAATATGATCCAAATAAATATTAGATTCTTGATTAATATGGATTGTTGTTAGTTTGTTGTACGGTGTTTTAAGATCTTGATCAATGTGCCCCTTTTTAACTTTGAGCCCCTGCCCCTCTGTACGGCCCTGGTAAGAACAAACTGCAAAGTGTAGTCTACAACTACATTAAAACCCAGAGGTGAACAATATGTACAGTTCTGTCTGTTTATATAACTAAAAGATACAGAAGGACTTAGCAAAATGATTTTTTTTTTCATAATTAGCTTTACCTTTGGTTGTTTTTCACTGTCTACAGGAGGGTATTGTAAGTGCAATAATCTGATATTCATTTTCATGCCTGTGTTTTCAATCAGGAGTACACGACCCCGCCATAAACACGTCAGTGAAGTGGATGAACAAAGTGGACCAGGCACATTCTCAAGGAGATCTAGAACTAAAAGACAATGAGATTCTGATTCCTCAGAATGGCCTCTACTTTGTTTACAGCCAGGCGTCGTTCAGAGTAAGCTGCAGCAGCACTGCTGATGACCTTACTTCCAATCACATGATCCATCTGAGTCACACAGTGAAACGCTGGTCCAGATCATTTGGCTCTAATGATGAGAGGTCCTATCAGACCCTCTTGCATTCAGTTCGTACTGTGTGCCAGGGTACAGCCAGTAAGGATCCAGACTCAGCTGGAAGCTGCTTCTCTGCAGTGTATATGGGAGCAGTATTCGATTTAAAGAGTGGGGACAGACTGAAGACGGTTATGGAAGAGAAGATGCTTGAGAAACTTGAAGAAGATGCAGGGAAGACTTATTTTGGTGTCTTTGCCTTGTAAAGAGAGCTTGCAGAGGGCAGTAAATTTACATTAACATACATGTTAACATACACAGAGTAGCACCTGTACTACTTATTATGGAATGGAGTCTGTTGCATAGCACCAAAAGAAACTTGTTTTGTAAGTTTTATATTTACAGATCAACCAGTAAGTGATTAGCAATGTCTGATATGGTGGTCTGTAATCCACCACATCAGAGCTATTTACTAAGATATGTCATTTTTGTATCACTTATGTTGTGTGTTTTTGCTGCTAATTGTTTCACTACAGCCTGGCAATGATGTGTCGACATATTTATTTATTATTATAATTATTTTTATTTATTTAAATATTTATTCTTTTTTCTCTAAGTCGGTGTGTTTTTCTGTTCACTAGGTCCTGTTATATTATGGTGTTTGTGGTGCAAAACACTTGAATACATATTGTTTGCAAAGATTACAAACTCTGATGATTATACTTTACAGTAGTAGACTTGTTCTCACCTGTTTATCGCTGGATCAACCAGTCAGGATTAGGTTTTTGTGCCTTTTTAATATGGAGGGATTTCTGGGAGACCACAGAGGCTGCTCTTTTCCCAATGAAGAAAAATGCAGTTAACACTAGTTAAAAATCCATCCATCCATTTTCTAACACTCTTGTCCCTTAGTGGGGTCGGGAGGGTTGCTGGTGCCCATCTC